GGGGGGGGGGGGGGGGGGGGGGGGGGGGGGAGGGATCTGTGCTCAAGGGAGGCTGACCTGCTCCTTTATACTGCTGCCCTCCCTTCACCGATTTTGTATTGGCACTTTTGGGCCTCTTTCGGTCCCAGACCTCCGAATGGTGTGTGTCTCATTCATTTTCCATGAGGGTCTGCTGCTGCTGCGGCCACCTGGCCTAAATATTGCACTTCATGCGTGAATATGGACTCTCCGTTTGACTTGAATCTTCACTGGGACTTGATCCTTTGGACTTGTTTTGAATAGGACACACCTACTGCTAAAAAAAACACACATATTGCACGAACAGACACATGTCCTGTTTGAACAGACACAACTTGCATACCCCCTAGATGAAAAGATGTGTTTTCCACATCTGAATATTACAACTGTTCGTCCAGAAGCAGAAATGTGACCTTCAGCATTGAAAAAAACGTGACTTGCGAGGTGACTATTGACCCAGAGAATATGCCTGTTCATCTGCTTTTCACGAGTTCCAGCGAGAGAGAGAGAGCAACCCCTTTTTGATGTATTGGTTAAAACAGGGTCTGAATCGTGTAAAGGTCCTCTTGCTTGGGCGTTTGGCTGGTTAGGTGGCTGTGGGTGTGTGACATGCATGTGTATTGTGATACTCCACGAAGTTGGGAACTGTCGGGTTCGTTGCAAGTCATCAATCAATCAATCAATCAAACAATCACAGCCACAGATTGATCAATCAATCAATCAATCAATCAATCAATCAATCAATCAATCAATCAATCAAACAATCAATCATTCAATCAATCAATCAATCAATCAATCAATCAATCAATCAATCAATCAATCATTCAATCAACCAATCAATCAATCACATACACAGTCAAACACATATACTTACACACACAGAGAGGCCACAGACACACATACACACAGTAACAGTTCGATCAATCAATAACACAGTGAGACAGAGAGAGAGACCACAGACACACACACACACAGTCACACACACAGAGTCACACACACACACACACACACACACACACTCACAGTTCGATCAATCAATCAATCAATCAATCATTTATTCATTCAATCAATCATTCAATCATTCAATCATCCAATCAATCGATTGATTGATTGATTGAATGATTGATTGATTGATTGATGATTTTTTGTTCCATTTATTGATACGAGTGAGAGAGAGAGAGAGAGTTTTGTTCCATTTATTGATACGAGTGAGAGAGGGAGAGAGAGATAAAGAAAGAGAGAGAGAGAAAGGAAGAGAGATAGAGAGAAAGGGAGGCGGGGGCCATACCAGAGAGAGAAAGAGAGGCTGAATGGCAAAATTAAAATATGGGTCAAATTGAGGCCGCGATCTATTTCGCAGTTGGAATGTTTATTTTTAGATTTATTTAGTGTTTTTCCTGGAAAGATCACAACAACATCTACGAGTACTCCAATTTGTAGTTTTTTCACGCATTTTTTTCAGAATGACAACTCACTGAATTTGAAGTACTTTTATTGTTTGCCCACACATGGTTGAGTGGCAAAAATAGAAAATGTGTTGAATAAGCACGACGATTATTTCTCGGTTTAAATGATTTTTTTATAAATATTCTAATATTTTTCATAGAAAGAACATAACCTCATTTATAGATTCTCAAAATTTCAGATTTTTTCTGCAGGTTCCTCCAAGCACAGAAAATAGTCGAAGTTGCCTCTTGCAAAACGTCTGTTTCGTTGCGCCCGACCTCCCTGTTTTGAGAAGACGGGCCTCAACGCCTGGGCCTGAGGGCCCTTTTGCGGTTCTCATGCCTTCACTTTGTTTTGGGGTCTGCTTCCACCCATGGACCTGTTCAACGCCCCCCACTCCTTTTTGGGGTCCGCTTGCACTCCAGGATCGGTCCTTCCTTTTTCCAAAAGTCCCGGTTTTACCATAGCTAACTGTAGGTAGTCCGCAATTTTGCCAAGGACCGGTCCCCCGAAGTTTTTTGCCCCCTAAGAACCCACTTTGCGTCGTGGTCGCCCGCCGCCGAAAATGGGAGACCTTGACTCAGACGTCGAATACCACAACCTTAGGGTTGCGAATTCAGTGAGTTTTCGCGCTCAGAAGAATGAGTGGAATAACCTGAAAATTGGAGTACTCGTAGATTTTGTTGTGATCTTTCCTGGAGTATAATTATAAAATTTTTAAAAAATAATTTAGACTGCGAAATAATCGTCGCGTGACTCATGTTGATTCGACACATTTTCCATTTTTGTCACTCAGCCATGTGTGGGCCAACCAAAAAAATACTCCAAATTGTCTATCATGTGGGCGCGGGGAACACAACCCTAAGGTAGCCGAATCAATGAGACTAAGAGCGAGAGAGAGAGAGAGAGAGAGAGAGAGAGAGAGAGAGAGAGAGAGAGAGAGAGAGAGAGAGAGAGAGAGAGAGAGANGAGAGAGAGAGAGAGAGAGAGAGAGAGAGAGAGAGAGAGAGGCTGAATGACAAAATTGAAATATAGGTCAAATTGTGGTTGCGATCTATTTTGTAGTTGGAATGATGTTTTTTAATGTATTTAGTATTTTTGCCGGAAAGATCACAACAAAATTTATGACTAATCCAATTTTCAGGTTTTTTCACACATTCTTTTCACAATGAAAACTCTTTGAATTTGGAGTACTTTTTCAGTTGGCCCACACATAGCTGAGTGGAAAAAATGGAAAATATGCCGAATCGGCGTGACGATTATTTCTCGGTCTAAATGATTTTTTGTAAATATTCAAATATTTTTCCTACAAAAAACACGATCTCGTTTATGGATTCTAAAAAATTCAGATTTTTTTGCGGGTTCCTCCGAGCACAGAAAATCGCCAAAGTTGCCTCTTGCAGAACGCCTGTTTCGTTGCGCTTGACCTCCCTGTTTTGAGAAGACGGGCCGCAACGCGTGGGCCAGAGGGCCCTTTTGTAGTTCTCATGCCCTCACTTCATTTTGGGGTTCACTTCCACCCGTGGACCCGTCCAACGCCCCCCACTTCTTTTTGGGGTCCGCTACCACCCGTGGGCCCGTCCAACGTCCCCCACTTCTTTTTGGGGTCAGCTTGCATCCTGGGACCGGTCCTTCCTTTCTCCAAAAGTCCCGGTTCTACCAGAGCTAGCTGTAGGTACACAATTTTGCCAAGGACCGATCCCCCTAGTTTTTTTGCGCCCCTAGGAACCCACTTTGCGTCCTTGTCGCCTGCCGCCGAAAATGAGAAACCTTGACACAGACGCCGAACCCCACTAGACCGCAGCCTTAGGGCTATGGATTCAATGAGTTTTCACGATCAGAAGAATGCATGAAAAAACCTGAAAATTGGAATACGCGTAGATTATGTTGTGATCTTTCCAGGAAAAACGCTCAATAAACTTTGAGAAATCATTCCAACTGAGAAATAGATCGCGGCCGCAATTTGACCCATATTTCAATTTTGCCATTCAACATCTCTCTCTCTCTTTCTCTTTCTCCCTCTCTCTCTCTCTCTCTCTCTGTGCAACCGGTTGAAAGCGCTGAATGCGCGTTCACGTTCAAACACGAACGTTCATAACCCCCGGGGCCGCGTTCAATCCCGTTCAAACGCGTTGCGCGCCACGTGGCGCGAAAAAATTGAACGCAACCCCAAGGGGCGCGCGCGCACGTTACGGACTACGAGGTGGTGGGCCTCGTTTAAGGAACCCCGAAAGTGCAAGCCCCCCCCCCCCCCCCGCGAGGCCTACCCCCCCTACCACGTCACCCCCCACCATATATGAAAGGTCCTTTTTTTGGGGGGGCCCGGGCAGGGGAATCCCCCTAACACGACTCAGACGGCCTATGCAGGCTATCTTAACGGTCCTCGCAGCCATGTACCACAGACCCCCCCACCAAAATCAAGGCAGACAATGAATATGAAGTAGAGCTCGAGTTGGCCGAATATATACTCAGGATTCGACTTCAGGTCTGTGTTTCAACAGTTATGGGTTGCTCACGTAGCTAGGGCCTTCTGGTCTCTGCACGTGACTCTTAGGGCTTGGCTGCACTACTCACCAAATGTGCAAAACTAGAATGAATCTTCTGTGTAACATGGAATAATACGCCGCCATACGTTTAGTCTTTTGTGCATGTGGTGAGTACAGGCCCTTAGGGCCACTGCACGTATTTCTAAGAAAAGAAAAACCAGAAAGAAAAAAAAAACGAGAAAAAAAAAATTGAGAAAAAAGAAAAACAAGAAAAAAGAAAACAAGAAAAAAGACAAAACATATGACGGCGTATTATTCCATGTTCTG